TAATACATTTAAAATCAATTGGATCAAACAATTTTGGGGTAATCCTTCATCGATTTGGAACTTTATACCTAACTATATATTTTCTCAACTTGGTGGTCTTAATTTTGTACTTTTATGTGACTACAAAATAGAAAAAATTCCGTTGGTTTTATCCAATTTCCACAAACAAACACTTTTGGCTTGGTCCTTGATATATAAACATAATTTTTGCCCTCATAAATGCTTTATCTGGAATAATCATTACATCTTATACAAGAATAGATCATTATTTCTCCATAATTGGTTCAATAATAAAATAATCCTGGTCAGTCAACTAACCAATAATCAAGGTTTCCTTTTAAATTACTCTGAATTTTTGAATAAATTTAATCTACCGGTCACCCCAAAAGAATTTGCTACAGTCATGGATGCTATTCCTTCTGGAATCTTGACCCTCTTTGAAAGGGGTGGACAGAACAACCTCCACACCAACCCTGGACCCCAAAATGACTGCTATCGGCAAATCCTGTTTTACGTCAACATCAGTCAGAAATAACAACCGTAACATATGTTCCGTGTTTCAACAAGATATTTCAACAATCCTACACATTATTACCTACTGGTCTGGTTTTGTTAATAATCAACACTGGGGAAAAATCTGGTCTCTCCCATACAAATACCTCCTGACTAATAAAGTAAGGGAAATCTCTTTTAAAATGATACACAAATACTATCCCACCAAGCATTATCTTCTTAGGTTCAAGAAAGACATCTCTGTTGATTGTTCATTTTGTGGAATGTACCCTGAAACAATGGTTCACTTGTTCTGGCAATGCCCGTATATCAACACATTTTGGAAAGCTGTATCCAGATTTATTATTGAACGTATTGACTCTGACTTTATGCTATACTGGAAAAATGTACTATTTGGGTTCTAAAAAAGTAAGGAAAAAAACGCTAAACAAACCTTCATTATAAATTTAATAATCATTCTCGCTAAGTTCCATATCCACAAATCCAGATGGAGTAATTTAAAACCTCTTTTCTTAATTTTTGAAACAGAAATAAAGCAGTACCTAAGTTCTATTATGGATTCTAAAAACTGTTAAAACTCTGGCTATATGCTCCTTATTTGAAATTTTTGTTTAAAATCCCCTGGCTTCTTTTTGGTTTAAATGTTTGTAATATGTGTATATATTAATAACATGTTCATTTTGTTTTCCTGTTTATTGAGAATTGTACCATCACTTGTTCGAATAAAGATTCAATTAAAAAAAAAAAAAAACACGGACGTCTTTGGTGTTTTCCATCAAAAATTTCATTAATGTTCAGATTTGGGGCCCTCTGGCGGCCAGGGGCCCGAAGCACCTGCATATTCTGCTTAAAAGCTGGTCCGGCCCTGGGTCGAAATTTCCGAACCTGTGCGCGCGATTTCCGAATGCGCCCCTAATGGCCAAGTAACTGACAGACTCTCCCCTCCCGTCCCTTGGCTCAAAAACAACACAAAGTACAGCTGCAGCACAAACACGGAAACAGGAATTGTGTTGGAACACAATGGCTACTTATTTGTGAACTTTAAAAAATGTTTTTAAATTCAAATAAATACATAAAGTCGTATTAATATATAGTTAGGTTGCCAGATAAAATAAATTCAGAAAGCACTGCACCAATGATCACGAAACAATAAATTGTGAAAAATTATACCTCTAAAATGCATCATTAACATTTGAAATGAATCAAGAACACATTCAAATGATAAATGGGCTGCACTTGAACAGTGCTTTTCTATCTCTGGTACTCAAAGCGCTTTAGACTATTATTTCATTTACCTACTGATGACGCAGCATCAGGAGATTCAGAATCTTGCTCAAGGGCACTCCGACATGGCCGCAATGGTCGGGGATTGAACCTCCAAACTGGGTTAGGAGATGACCACTCGGCCACTCAGCCATGCCACCCCCCAATTGATTATTTAATGGTGTAATTGTGTATTAATGCTCCTCCACATTTATAAGATATGTTTAGTGGTAAATAATTGGATGTAAAAATGCAAAGACACAAGTCTGCATTGTTTCTGCTGAGGCTGCTCTCTTTATTCTGATCGATTCCACAATGTCACACATGAAGTTACTGGGAAAGGAGCTGAGTACAGAAGTCTGGTTTAGTGGGTTCCTTGGGTTCCTCGTTACAGTTGGACGTGAGGATGGAGCAGGCAGCACAACTGCAACTTAATGCCACAGGGTACTTGACCACGGGGTCTACACCTGCAAGGCAGTTAGACAGCTCAAACTCTTGGTGGCGCATATCCTCATACATACAGACTAGAGGCTCTTCGCTGGGGAAGCCGTAGTAGATAGGGTACTGCATGGAAGAGAACATATACAACATTGTTACATTATGCAGTTGTAATTGGAGGGAAACATGCAGGGAACGTTACCTCTGTGGCACAGTATCCAGAACAGATGGTCGTCTCCACAAGGTGACAAGAGAGGCATCCTTCTTTTTCCAGGCTCACGTTTTGGGTGGTCAGGTGACATCCTGGCACCTTATTGGATGCTGAACATGATGCCACCACAATTACAGAATAACGCAACAACACTGAAATAAGTTTTGGGTGAATTTACTCAGTTGATCATACTACCGGAGACAAATTCCTTGTGTGTTTTACATACTTGGCCAATAAAGATTATTCTGATTTTATTGGTTTCGTGGTTTCACATAATGAAATCATTTGGATCCAGATAATTTCTTTCAGTAGACTATACATCTTATTTTAAAAATTATTGTTTTCAGTGAATGTTGCACAGCGCACTTGTGGTTATTCACCACAGGTTAAGCAACTAGTGTCACAGAGAGGGCCTCAAAAATCTTTCAGTTGTTACATTACTTACCACTTTCAATAATGTGTTAATTGATTAACAACAGGCTCAAACACTTTAAAAAACAACTTATAGAATCTATCCAATAAATGTAGGCTAACAATTTGCAGCCACTTCATTGGGGTAAATTTGAACCATATTTCGGGTAAAGAGAACCTTAAGTTTACCTCGCCTTATGTTGCATTCCACAACTAAATCACCCATTAAAATTGAGGTAAACATCCATCCATCCATTTTCTGATCCGCTTATCCTCACAGGGGTTGCGGAGCGTGCTGGAGCCTATCCCAGCTGTCTTTGGGCAGCAGGCGGGGAACACCCTAAACTGGTTGCCAGCCAATCGCAGGGCACACATAGACGAACAACCATCCGCGCTCACACTCATACCTAGGGACAATTTAGAGAGTGTTCCATTAACCTGCTGTGCATGTTTTTGAAATGTGGGAGGAAACTGGAGTACCCGAGAAAACCCGTGCAGGCAAGGGGAGAACATGCAAATTTCACACAAGGAGGCCGGAGCCGGAATCGAACCCTTACCTCTGCACTGTGAGGCCAATCCGCTAAACAGTCAACTACCGAGCCGCCGACAACGCAATACAATACAATACAATACGAAACAATACAATATATAAATCCACACAACACAAAACAAGACACCTGTAGAGTGCATCATCCACCAACCATAGGCGGCCAAAAACAAGGTCAGCATCTGAAGGGCCATGACTTGACAGACCTACATAATAAACAAGATCACATCATCTTTGTGCAAACAAATGTCACAAGTATGTTCTGTACAACATGATCTACAAGACTATAATACTGTAAATCCACTTTTTGCAGTTTATCGTGCTCAGGGTCACGTGTGAACAGCGGCCTATTAAAACTGATTTTGGGCGAGAAGCTGGGCTTACTCAGGGAACAGTTGACGGCCACTAATAGTTAATAATCACACTCAAGCTGTCAAAAGATTCTTATTATGCCATTCAGTTGAAAGTTACTGCTGGTGAATGCTAAAAGAAAGAAAAATGTTTTCATGGCACCAGGATCACAAAGATTTAATTGAAATGCAATCATGCAGAAAGAATGCAACAAGCCTGGCTTACCTGTGTGTGTCCTGTGCATTTGGTTGGTGCTCTGCCTGTTCGTTTTTATAAGCGATAGGGGGCTCTAGCACCTGTCTTTGCCTTGGCTCGATGCCCTCATGACCATAGTGTGTGTGTGTGTGTGTGTGTGTGTGTGTGTGTGTGTGTGTGTGTGTGTGTGTGTGTGTGTGTGTGTGTGTGTGTGTGTGTGTGTCCAGACAGGCAGTCTGATGAATAGAAGATTGCTTTACTGCAAACAAGAGTGATTGAGATAAGAGTGTTCGTCATATACAGAATATACGGTGCTATGAGTTATATTGTGAAGTAAGTTTCTGTACAATATCAGTGTTTAAACTCTTTTTGCATGTGCCCCATTCAACTTTAAACACTTGCACCTCCAAAGTTATCGGCATGACCCTGTGTGTCGGGGCGTCAGAAAGGCCTTTATTGTCATGAGAACAGTCACAAACAGGGAAGGTTAATCTACGCTTGAGTGGGATTTATTTACCTGACAACCTGTACTCGGATGGCAGCAAAGATCTGCTTTCATTGATTATCAGAAGGCTTTGCTTCTTTGGGATTTAATGTGGATTACAGTAATGGGATAGATGGACAATGTGTATAATCACTTAATTCCTTTTCCTCCATGCATCATTTGATATCCCTTTTTGCCTTTCCATCTTACAGTTGCATGTCTAGTTCCTTCTCCACTGTCTTCTACATTGTCCTTAGGTGTGATTGTAAGTGCAAATGGTTGTTCGTCTATGGGTGCCCTCCAATTGGCTGGTAACCAGTTCAGGGTGTACCCCACCTATTGTCCAAAGACAGCTGGAATGGGCTCCAGTACGTCCACAACCTGAGTGAGGATATACAGTCATAAGGATAATTTAGAGCAGGGGTCACCAACGTGGTGCCCGCAGACACCAGGTAGCCCGTGAGGACCACACCAATAGCCCGCCAGTGCTAGGATTGTGATTTGCGAGTAGAAATTATGATTTAAAAATGCAAACACAGCAGTATTGTGAAACATCTTTAAGATGATCAGAGCCTGAAAATTAAAATCGTTAAGTATTAAAAATAACACATTCTAATATTATTAAATGTAATTTGTACAAATGTTATTTCAGACGTGGGCGGCCCGGTAGTCCAGTGATTAGCACGTCGACTTCACAGTGCAGAGGTACCGGGTTCACTTCCAGCTCCGGCCTCCCTGTGTGGAGTTTGCATGTGTCCCCCGCCTACTGCCCGAAGACGGCTGGGATAGGCTCCAGCACGCCCCGCGACCATAGTGAGGATAAAGTGGTTCGGAAAATGAATGAATTAATTAATATTTCAGACATGTATCAATTTGGTAGCCCTTCACACAATCAGGACACATGAAGTAGCTCTCAGTCTCAAAAAGGTTGGTGACACCTGATTTAGAGTGTTCCATTAACCTGTCACGCATCTTTTTGGAATGTGGGAGGAAACCGGAGTACCCAGACAAAACCCACGCAGGCACAGGGAGAATATGCAAACTCCACACAGGAAGGCTGGAGCCGGAATAGAACCCTGCACCTCTGCACTGTGAGGTTGACATGCTAACCAGTCAACCCCTGTGCTGCCCTATATTTATATAAATTAAAATCCACAAAGCAAGGGGTAGGACTAGATTTTTTTTTACTTCTTCCTACTTCCTTTGAAAATGGAAATTGTGCTGTCATTTCTTATTCATCCTAATGAAAAACAGTCGTTTAAAAGTGCTAGGAAACTGTCGAAACAATCACATTTACATTTGCAATCGTTTGTGTTCAAATTTATGGCAGATTGACAGTGATAGATCTCGAGCAAACAATCCCACACCGTGCTGAACGGCGGGCCTCGGAGTCACGTGATCCACTGGCCGTACAGACGTTGCAGCGCGCTGCCTTGCGCGCCGACGTAATCCCCACAAACGCCTGCAGAGTTGTAGTTTCCAATAAAAGGGTCCGAACAGTGCCCGGGCGCGTGTTAAACTAATCGCCTTGAGGAATTCCGATGACTTTTGGTAGATTTATTTTGTAAGATTGGGATATTTTTCATGATTTCAAACGGAAATGTAAACTTATGAGAAGTGATTCCGGTTCATTTGGAAGGTTTTGAACTGTTCTCTGGAAAGTGACCATTGTTGTAATCGGGTCGGGGCTGTTATTATTTCTTCTAGCTGACCTTAGTTTCTCACAGCTTCGCAGCAAGAATAGAGCTCATCTATTTTGAGTGTCATGAAAGAAATGTCAAGGTAAGTCAAATTAGGGAGTCTACCTAGTAGCAGTAAGCATTTTATTTGCGTTTAACACTCAAAAGAATAGGCTAAAAGCTAGCGTTAGCATAGCTAACTGTCATAACAAGGCCTGTCGCTATCGATTGTTGGCTAGGCCGTTACATTGTGATTTGTCTAACTATTGTTTAAGTGAGGCCACGCGGTGAAGCGGTTTCACTTGAAATTTTGCTGGGACAGTATGTCAACTGTCGGAGTCTGTCTGAAATGTGCTTAACAAGTCATTTTCACCGTAACAGAAAGCTAACGTTTACGCTCATGCTAAATTAGCCCGCTCGTGTTTCCAACCTGTTCCCGACCTCTTTGCTAACGCTCGCTCGCTCAGTTGATGCTGAATTGTTTAGTAGAAATCTTCAATGTCCTTGGAATGGGTGAGATTTGGATGTCTCGTTCAGGATAGCGTAGATTTGTTTGGCACGGCTAGATGCTTCACGCAACTTGGCGAAGTTGTAAATGACACCCAAACATGTTTCTAAAGTAACCCGCGAGTTTCATAAGCTTTGATTGATTCATGTGAATGATAATGAAATTGTTCGTTCGACTCGTGTATAAGTGTCATGTAAATTGGAAGTTTTACGCTGTGTGTGCATGGCAGTGCTCATCAGCCCGACTAAACCACGAACTCATATCTGCAGATTGTATTGTTTGGGCGCTACGCTGTATTTGAGGTCTTTTCAGGAAAATTGGAAACGATTGCTTTTTTTTACAAATATGTACACATATTGGAAATACAGATACTTTGAATGAGAAAGACATTATTATTATCCTTAGCTGTCTGTTTTTTGTAATTCTATTTCCTGATGCTTTGCAGTAACATGCCTGGTGGGCAGCAGCCTCAGAAACACTATGGTATTACATCCGCAATTAGCCTTGCACCTCCAAGAGAAATAGACCACCAGTACACCAAGAAGCTCTGCGATGCTATGAAGCCATTTGGAGTGTTTGAAGATGAAGAGGAATTAAATCACAGGTAAGTGTATGCATTTTATTTACATCTCTCTTGAATATTATTTGTATGAGTGGGTCTGTTACTGTGTTCACCTTGTTTTTATTCTGCTCTAGTCAGTTAATAGGTGGGGAAAATTGAATCTTCAGTATTCAATGTAATGACCCCCCGCCTTCCTCTCTTTTCAGACTTGCTGTTCTGGGAAAATTGAATAACTTTGTCAAAGAATGGATCGCAGAGATCAGTGAATTAAAGGTATGTTGGATGACCTAAGGCGACCAGGCGTAACTGATCTATTCGTTTGTGCAGTGTGTGTGTTTCTGCAACTAGTTTTTGTTAGTTGCCAATCGTTTGCAACTAGTTTGGCTGCCATACCACATATCGTGGCAGATGTTTACGGCCAATGAAAATGCCAACACCTGATCTTTCACAACCAAAAATAGCAAACAGCTGGAAGACAATGAGTTAAGGGAATGTTGGCCTTTAGTATTCGGTTGCACTTGTCTCTGCAGTTTCCACCGCTTCAAAATTTGAATATGGGGGCGATTGCAATCTAATTTTTTCCTTGACTGTTCCGCTGTGTTTGTGGTTCACTAAAAGAATGTAGGTGGCACTTCAAAATGCCTTTTTTCGTTACATCAAGTTCGGGAGTGTCTCTAGCTGTATGAGGGTCAAACGCTACTGTAATTTTTTTTTAGATTAGCCAATGATGTCTACTTCAGTGACGTTCCTCAATAGACGGTGGTCGTACGATACTCCAGGAAACTTTTTGCTATTAGAGGGAAATTAAATCCTGTTGTCTTCAACAGAACCTTCCACCCTCGGCTATAAGCAGTGTTGGGGGCAAGATATTTACATTTGGTTCATATCGTCTTGGAGTGCACACGAAAGGTATGTCATGTCACACATTATAAAATGTTTTTTTTTTTTTTTTTTTTTTTTAAATACATTTTGGTCTGCTTTGGGGAATAAGTGTGAAAGTGATCATTTTTGGCTCATTATGAGCAGACAAATGTAATTTGGGTTGCTTATTTTAAATGGCACTGACAACAAAAGACAAGGCTTAAAAAAAAGTATGCCCTGGACATTGGCATTTTTACTGTATCATGTGACAAAAGACTAATCTTGTATGAATGAAGATGAAGCTATTTTCTTTCTGTCGTAAACAACACTGGATCAACCATGTATCATATCATATATACCAAAATTATGTCCGGTAGTTCGCATCCTAGGCATGTTCAAACTTTTGCAATCAGTTTCTCTGATGCCTATTCAAACAATGACAAGTAGTCACTTTGCTGGTTGTTGAAATGGTTTGTACCACACTGAATGTAGACTATAGTATACAAAGAAGAGAGTTGTCTCAGGAGATTAGACAATCATGTTAAAAGTAAGTGATATAAGACCAGTCTCGAAACAACTTACTCAGAAGTTTAAGGTCCGCGGTACTGTAGCTACCTTCCCTGCATGTGGCCACAAGAGGAAAATGCATGACAAATTTAAGAAACCAACAATACAAATTATAACCAAAGAGTCCAGAACAAACTCCAGACAAATCCAAACTGAAACTCTCAAAGTTTAGCTATATCAGTGTCTCGTCGCATCATGTGTCCTGTATTGAGCCAAAGGGGGAGATGACCAAGGAGGACACCACTAGTGAAATCTAATCATAACAAAAGCTAGACTGGAGTTTGCCCCAATGTATGTATATTGGCAAGCTATCAAGACTCTCTAAAAATTTCCTTTTGACAGATAAGAGAAGGCTGGAGCTTTTTGGCTAGGCTATCAACAGGAAAAGTGCATTGTCCCTGTTGCGCAACATGGATGTTT